CTCGGTAGCCCAGGCTGGCCTCGAACTCACAGAGATCCGCCTGGCTCTGCCTCCCGAGTGCTGGGATTAAAGGCGTGCGCCACCAACGCCCGGCCTGGGCCCACTTCTTAATCCCAGATCTTTGGAGTCAGAGTCAAAGCCATTTCTGAATTTGAGGCCAGCCTATGGTGATATTTTATTTGTGGTGAAATGTGATTTTATTTGTATGTTAATAAATAAAGTTGCCTGGAGATCAGAGGTCAAAGCGAGGCATAAGGAGAGTCAGGCGGTCGTAGCACACATCCTTAATCTGATCACATGGAAGGCAGAGTCTCTCTGTGGTCAAGGACACAGCCAAGCATGGTGACATGAACCTTTAATCCCAGTACCAAACATAGAGACCTGGAGGTCTGTATAGACAGGCAGTGATGAGGAAGTCATGTGGTTGGGTTCAGAGCCAATGAGAAGGCAAAGCAGAAAGGAAATAAAAAGACAAGTCAGACATCAGAAGCTCTCTCTTGGGGAAAGCTACTGCTGGTGGTAAGCTAAAGCTTGTCATGGCTCTTGCTCTGATCTGTTTGGCTATTAACTCTGTATTTGGCTCTGTGTTTCTTATTTAATAACACTTTAGAATTTTGTCTACATTTGGTGCTCACGTGGCAAGAATTTATTAAAAAACCATTTGTGGCCTCATAGGTGAGGGGTTACAGGCCCCAGGCCTGGTCGGAGCTATGGGTCTAGCTGACACAGTCAGAGCTACACTCAATGGTAGTAGCTACAAGGGGTCATATGCAGCTGGATCGGCTTGCGCCCAGATTGCCAACTCACATGGTCAGAGCTTAAGGAAGCCAGAGTTCAGGCCTAAATCATCACAAGCTGGAACATGCAGCTGGATTTTAGCTTTTAGTTATTTTCTCTTCTCCTGGTAGGTTCTCTCTCTCTCTCTCTCTCTCTCTCTCTCTCTCTCTCTCTCTCTCTCTCTCTCTCTCATAATAGAGGGACCAGCCTTAATATTATACATCTCAGGGGCTCAGGAGAGAGAACTACTAATGGCAAGGACTATTTTCAGAAAATAGAATCTCAGTACACTGAGCTCTGTCATCCACTTGCTTTAATTCCTCTGGCATAACATCCTTTATACACAGCTTCAGTTCTGTTCACATGTCTAGCTCCTTTCTTGACTGATTTCTCTGTTTGTCTACTGTTCCCTCTTAAGTTCTATCTTCATTCTCTCTCATCTTAATTCTGCCTCATCTAGGTCCTTTTCAGCTTGTTCTTACCCAGCCAGTGCTTCCCCATCTGGGTCTTCCTCATCTTCCATCTCATTCCTCTGGTACTCTCTTCAAGCCCTACAACCTATTTCTTCCCCATCTCAGTTCGTTCCTCTCAAGTTCTTAACCGTCGAGTTCTTTCATTCTTTTTTCTCTTCTCTCAAGTTCTTACCCATCTAGTTCTTCCATTCTCTTTTCTCTTCTCTGTCCTGGATGTCCTGATGTATATACACTTACAAGCAGTAATCCCTTAGCAGTGCAAAGCCAGGCTTCCAGGGTCAAATGGAGGGGTGATAAGAATCACATAGGGAGGCAATAACCGCTAGTTATCATTTGCAACCCCAAAGGGAAGAGACCAATAGGGAAATGAATTAACTAAAGGCTAAATTCAGGTAGTATCTAAGAAGAGGGATCTTATGTGCTCAACTATAAAACTCTTAAACGTGATTAGTAGAAAATGTTAATGCATTTTTAATCTATAAGTTGCTAGGTCAATGGGAGAAAATAAAACTGTTTTCTTTTTTCCTGTGATTCCTATCTGTCCAAGCTATCTGCTGTTTTTCTGCAGAGTGGGGGAAAGTGTGCTCAATCGCTAGGCAACCTGTGTACAGCTAGATGCCTCTGGTGATAGTTAAGGGGAGATCTGGAACCAGAGATAAGATTTGGGAAAAAAGGAAGTAGAGCTTAATTGGCACATCCGCCAGGCCTTCTCAAATGGGTAGTCTGGATGCTTAAGTCTGTTCTTAGAAAGTATGGAGGTATCTCTGATATGGTACTTTCCTCCATCTGGGGATGGACCTGGCCGGATGCTACCAATGATAATTACAGGGAGGCTTCAACTGGGGTTCTGGCTGAGCATAGCTGTCAGTGTAGAAGGTTATCGAAGTATTCCTACAAGTGATTAGGTAAGGAGTTAGAGGTCTATAAAGTTAGTAAGGCTGTAAGAAAGGAGGGCTCGAATAAATTGTGTAAAGCTATTACTTAACGTCCACCTGCCAAGGTGGTGTCTCTTTGTGGAATCTACCTTAAATCAGGAGACTTGCATGTGGACTGTTATTACTACTAGTCTGCTGTGGGATGTTCTGTATGTTCTGTGGGAGCCCGTTCTTGGGTTCCTCATGGCTTTACCCAGCAGGTCCGCATAGAGGATGATTAGGACCACAAGCCTGAGTGCAGGTGTCTGAGATGGTCTGCACTTGGCTGGGCTGGGGGATAGTCTGTATTTCAAATTGCTCTGATTGGTCAATAAAGAAAACCTGATTGGCCGTGGCTAGGCAGGAAGTGTAGGCGGGACTAACAGAGAGGAGAAATAAAAGAATAGGAAGGCAGAAGGAGTCACTGCCTGCAGCACCTGCCAGGACAAGGAACATGTAAAGTACCACTAAGTCACGAGCCACATGGCAAGGTATGGATTTATGAAAATGGATTAATTTAAGATATTGGATGAGTTAGCAAGAAGCCTGCCACAGCCATACAGTTTGTAACCAATAGAAGTCTCTGTGTTTACTTGGTTGGGTCTGAGCGGCTGTGGGACTGGTGGGTAACAAAGATTTGTCCTGACTGTGGGCCAGGCAGGAAAACTCTAGCTACACTAGTCCTTGAAAGTGGCCAAGGGAGATATCTGATTCCAGAGAAAGCCTTTCCTGAGGCTGTTCTCCAAATACCTGGAATGTGTATGTCCAGAGAGTGGTCAGTCCACACTGTTAGCCCTTCTTAGGGAAAAGTCAATTGGGAAAACTATGAAGGCACACATGATTTTCATAACAGAATACAGCTGATATATAACAAGACAAGTAACACCAAAAACCCCTTGGGATTTGGCTTCCTCTGGAGGAATTCCCCGATCCCTCCAGGTAGTGACTTTGCCATAACGAGCTGCGTTCTTATGATATATTCCTGTGGCCTGCAGCATCTCTCTCTCTCTCTCTCTCTCTCTTTCTCACTCTCTCTCTGCACAACCACACTAGGTAGTAAATACAATCCAAAAAGAGCGCCCAACAATTTATAAGAGGAATGCTGATTACAAAGCTACATTCACGGGCCGGGCGGTGGTGGCGCACGCCTTTAATCCCAGCACTCGGGAGGCAGAGCCAGGCGGATCTCTGTGAGTTCGAGGCCAGCCTGGGCTAC